TTGATAAAATGAGAAATGATATATATATACATTCATATTTAGTGCTGAATATTTAACAAAAATAACATATCATATCCTAATGTATCTATATTTTTAATTTTTCTTTTTCGTTTTTTTTTTTTTTTTGAAAACATTGAATTTTATCCGTATCAATTAATAAACATTTTTTTATTAAAAACCTCGTTATAAATAGATTTTCTTTATTAAAAAACTCATAAAAAATAGATGAATAGGTAATTTGTGTTAGAGTTTTATAAAAATTCTTTTAAAACCTCCTTTTATATCAATTAATAAATAATTTTTTATATTAATAATACCAAAAAGTACATAATGAACGGAAGTGTTTGTATGACCGTGAAGTTACGAATGATCAAAAATAAATATATGAATAAATTTATACGTGAATAGAATTCTTAAGAGTAGTTGATAGAGATTAGAATTTTATTAGTAGATGCACTTGGGTTGAGATGTTCATAAATAAATAAATAAATTACGCACATATATATAAGAATAATTTTGTGTATAGAACTTTTAAGAGTATAGGATTTTTATTAGTAATTGATATACAATTTTTTGGAGTCTTTTAGTAAGTGAAATGTTTTTATATATTTATTGGTATAAATAATATTTAATTTTTAAAAAAAATATTTTATAAAAAACATCACAAACTTAAGCACATGCGACAATAGAATTACAAGAATAATAGTAATATTATAAAAAAATAAAATGATCGATATTATAAAAAAATAAAATGATCGAATTTTTTTTGTACTTTTAATGATGGTATAAATATATATTGTCATCCCATTGCAAATTTGTATCATATTCTTTAAGAATTTGTCATATCATATTGTCCGCATCCATGCTTAGTAAGTGTATGTGAATTGAGGCCTATTTGGTGATGACCGGTAATAGTTATTTTATTGTATTATGAAACAAACTCCAATATTATATTTAAAATCTTTCTTTATAATATATTAATGAATTTGACGGTTCATGATTTATCATTCTTGAATATTGATATTAGGATGGCATAGCTTTAAAGTAAGTTAAGGGCGATATTTAAACGAGAAAAGGTCTGTGGTGAATACCTAAACACCAGATACGAGAAATGGCGTATTAAGAGATGAAATGCTTCTGAATGCATTAGATTCATAATATTTAAAAATATATATATATATCACAATTAACTTTTTATAAATAATATAATCTATTATATATATATTTATTTTAACATGTGGTACTCCCATCGCTTTTTTTTTTTTTTTTTCGATAAATTGCACGAACTTTTTCTAAAAATGAAACTAACCTACACGGATTTTCCTTTGTTACGGTCAACACAAGTCAATATACGAGTTTTGCTTATTACTATAACATATGATTCTTCGTCCATCTCATCTCTCTCATATATACATATGGATACTATATATACAAAGGCGGATCTAGGAATTGTCAATGGAGTGGGTTAATATTTGGGTGGGTTAATACTAGGGCTGCAACTCGGGTGGGTTGGGCGGGTTTGAGAAATAACTTGAGTCCAACTCACCATATGAAATGTTAAACTTAAACCCAACCCTAATCCTAACCCTATTCTCAACCTTAACTACCCAACCCAAGTCTAATTCATCATTCTACTTTTAAATTCGGACTTACAACTCGAACTTAGATTCTGGGTAAAAAGTTCGGGTTAATTCGGGTTACTCATATGGCTAATCCTTACATCGAAAATTTAATATGATCTTGAATTAGTTTTAGATTAAATTACCTTTAAATAAAAAAAAAGTTTAAAGAATTTTTTTTTTTTTTGGTAGATTTTTAATAAATTACAAACAAATTTTTAGAAAATTAAATCTTCTAAATGTTAACATACATTAAGTTAAGATATAACAAAAGAAGTTGAAAATAAAAAAAGTAATCATAGTTTAAATATTATATATAATGTATTTAAAAGTAGAAATATATATGAAAATAATATTAAATTTGGGTTCGGGTTGGTTCGGGTTGCTAACACTTCAACCCAACCCTAACTCTAATTAAATTCGAGTTGAGATTTTTTAACTCAAACCCAACCCTAATTGTAAAAATGATTGCACAAGCCCATGAAAAATCAGGTTGGGCTCGAGTTAGGTTCGGGTTACGCAACTCAAGTTGCACCCCGAGCTAATAGTAATAATAATTTTTTATATTATTTTTTTTGGCAGGTCCAAGAATTGTAAATTAAGTGGGCTAATATAATACTAGTAATATATATATTGGCTGGGCTAAAATTTGCTATAGTAATATATATATATACACACATATATTTTTGGTGAGTTTGAGCCCACCAAAGCCCATCTCTATATCTGCACTTGGTACTATAGTCATTTATCATAACAATTTGAGAGCATTTTAATAAATTAGACAAATTTGTTAGTACATCTGATTGTCCATTACTAGGAAAGGGGATCTGTGTAAGTTAGTTTCATTTTTAAGGGAGGTTCAAGTAATTTTATAAACTAAGGGAGGTCCCTAAAATTATGTCAAATCATAGGGAAGGTCTGTATAATTTACTCCCCCCCTTTTTTTTTTTAATTTGTCATATCGTCGTCCCTGTATCATGTTGTATTCTTTTCTCATATCTATATCCGTGCTTCTTAGGTGTTGTGTCTTCGATGTTGTTTATTATGCTTTAGATTTAATTTACACTAAATGGTCTAATATACTAGAGTGGGTCTTATTTGATTCCATTTTTGTAGAAAAATTTGTAGTACTTTTTTAAGCTTATTGCATTGATAAAATATTCAAGGATAATTATGTCATCCATTACTCACATAATTTTACACTCACATAATTTTAGTTTGATATGTCCGACTCACAAATAATGTTAATTAATTTTATATCTAGTCCACCGCTCCGCTTAGTTAGTAAATTCGTGAATAATACCCCAATTATTACATACCCTTTTTTTACAAATTACTTCTATTTGCGGTTTAGATTTAGACAATAAAATAGGCCTATTTTTATCATTAACCCGAAAACGATCTTATATATTTTGACATGTCTAGCTTATCGTTTAATTCATTTTTTAAATATTTTTTTATTCACTCTTCAATTCTAATTCTATATTTTTTACAATCAATTATATATATATTTATTTATTTATTAATGTCATAGACTCATAGTTAATCCCAAGGGGATAGCTGAGCAAAAAAGACTCTCATCTCAAATTTTGGAGATAGGGAGTACGATTCCCTTTGGAGCCACTCCAGAGAATTTTTCCGCTAATTGTCTGGTGGTGAATTATTGAGTGCTCTATGGTTAGTGTCAATTTGCATAAAATGGAAATTTATTTTATTGTTTGTATCTTTAAATGCCTTTACAAATATTTGATTATAAAAAAAAAAAAAATAAGATATGTATAGTTGAATTATTGGTCTTGGACTTTTCGTTTATATAATTCATTATACATGTTCATATCTGTATTTATATTTTTATATTTTCATTTTTTTAGTCATGTTTTTGTAATATATTTTTAAAAATAAATAAATTATACTCATGCCTTTTCGAATCTAGTATTTTACTATGTCATTCCCAATATCCTTACTTAACGGAGACCATATTAGATAATTAGAGGCGTCATCACGATGGATGTGATCTGTTAAAAAATAATAGTAATAAAATCAGGATGAAGAGTGCTCCTATCTCAACTCGTTCTATACATAAAAATTAATTACGAAATCTGCTCTGTGCCTTTAGAGTACCCCTGCCGTAGTATAATATAATAAAATATTTAACAACTATAATCGTAAATTTTACTAATTATAAAATTAAAAATCCCAAATATCATGAAAAACAATAAGAAAACAACAAACAATAAATTAAATAGATGAAGGTAAAATTGACATTTCTATCAATAAATAGCCATTTAGAGAATATATATTTTAAGTAAACTAAACTAAACCAAACACGTCCTTCTGGAAATAGTTATACCTGGAAATGAGAGTAGTGTCATGTTCCGCAGCACGAAATTAATGTCTTAAAAATTAAAATTAGAGAAATATTAATTCAAATTTATTAGCAAAACTAGGTCCGAAAGGTCAATATGACTTTGATAACCTCAAGACGATACCAAATGAATGACCAACCACACACACACAATTCACCATCCAAAACACATACTAGAGCTCAAATTATGTCCACACACACACAAACAACCTCATGTGCAAAACAATATTCATAATCTAATGTCGTAAGAGCACTCATCAGTAGATATCATAATCATACCAAATGACAATTTACAAATACAATATCAATATGTCCGAATAGGCGAATACTCGGTCGAAAATCCAATAAAAATGGCAGAATAATCACTGCACAGTCTATACATATATATTAGATTTCTAAACTTCCAAACCAGTACATTAAATTTTATCCAATGTATTAATTTTGATAAATCTCCAGTCACAGTGAGTATGAGAATATGCACTAGCGTGTGTCCAAATTGGGTAAGAAGTCACTCCATATAATACAAAGATTCCTCTCTATGGTAGGGTATTTATCATCTTCTTCTTATCAGAGCAAATCTGGTCATTCCCTTTACAGAAAGGGGGAAAAAGAAAAGAAAAAATTAGTACGAGGGGCAAAAGACTACACTATGACTTGAAAACCCGAGCTTTATCCGACTCGCGTGGAGGGGGCGTTTTGCAAGGGGGGTCGGGGCAAAACCCTGGTTACCTGTGACACCTAATTAAATCTAGTGAGGCACTTGTAATAATACAGTGGCAGTTCCAGTTGGTCAAAAGATAGCTGGTTTTTACACAGTACAGATCCTTCATCCGTGCCCGCCCCACTGCTTAATTCGTTCGGATGCTTGTGCTACCTGCAATTCAAAGTTTAAAAGCCATGAAAAGGCTCACAAATGAGAGAAGAGTATATATTTTCATATATTGTATATAATATTATAATGTATGCTATGTGCAGTATGCTGCCACATGCTAGCCAATGTATAGTAAATGGCACGACCAAAATCTGGATAATCTTGTGGTAAACATACTAAAATTAGGTCTTATTATAGTAATAATTAAATATTACCTCCTCATTCCAGTTTGTTTTCCATGTAATGAACAATAGGATCATTGTTTGCAGAAAAGTACCAAATATCATGCCCATCCAAATCCCCTAGACACACAACACCATTAGCATCTAAGCTAGTTGAAAAAAAAAAACCTAAATTGTCAAGGTTAAACTTGGTGAACAAGATTAGTATATTACATCAACTCCTAAATTTGTTTTGTAACCTAGAAGAAACCCGAGAGGGAGACCAATGATGTAATAACAAGCCAAATTAATGTAAGCCACCAGCCCTTGCCACCCTCCTCCAATAGCTACACCTGTGAAAAATGGTACTAACATTGTATGATTTTCTATTTCAAAGACAGTTTAGGCCGTGTGGTTGTGTTGTGAATATTGGCACCTGATATAACTGGCTGAACGCTGTTGAGCACCATGGTTACAGCCAGAAGGTAAGCCAACCGAGCCACGGCTTGTTGCATCTCCTTGCTGTCAGTAAAGATGACAGCAAAATGGTTTCTTGTTGCTATGATAATCCACATGGAAATTATACCAATAAGGAGAGATTCGGTTACTGTGATGATGATTGTATACTTGGCAGCTCTGGGATGTCCTGCTCCAAGTTCATTAGAAACCCGAACACTAGGAAGAAGAATGAAGAAGAACAAAGTTACTCGAAATTTTTTTATTGGAACAATAATTCTTCAGCAAAGGAAAATAAATCAATGCCAACATATCAATTGTCATAGGAAAATATGATACCATTTGAATAGGGAAGAACAATAATGCAGGAGAAGAATAAGAACAATGAGTTTTTTTTTTTTTTTTACCCTATAGCTGCATTGATTCCAATAAACACCATGGCTTCCCACCCATTCAAATTCATGCTGAAACAAAAAAAATTAAAAATTAAACCAAAAGGTAAACAAAATAAATAAATAAATATTCACAGAAATGAAAATAAATTATGGCAAGGCAGATAAAATTTTATTGTGCCATAAAGATGGAATATGAAAATTTTAATTACTACTCATAAGAATTGGTTCTCATTAGAAAGACTAGGAAGTGTATTAATGATTCCCAAATATTTGATTGAATTAATAATCCATTCCGCAATTCTTCATTTGTAGCACATTTTACCCTTTTGATAGATTTTGCTCCTTTTGTGCAGTGAGTTTCATTTAAATTCTCTTTCAAACAGTAAAATAAAGCTGCTTTAAGTACGTATGTATGTGTGTGTGATTGTGTGAACTAAATGGGACAATAAGATGATGGTCCTTTCTGTGATTTTTTTTCATTTGTACTATTACTTCTCAGCACATGTTACACTTTCTGAAAGATTTTGTTCCTTCAACGCAGTGTGTTCTCATCAGCATTGCCTCATTGACAGAATTTAATTAGAATAGAATCTTTCAAACAATAAAATAAAGCTGCTTTAAGCACACACACACGTGTGTGTGTGTGTGAGAGAGAGGGAGTGTGTGTGTGTGTATCAGATGATGAATTCGATCTTTTTCATGCTTAGGAAAAATTGTAGAATTGCTTTGTGATCTTACCAAATAGAAAGGGATCCAACTGCAATAACAGGGTCCCCAAGATGTCCAGTGAGAACAATGATGGTCATAAAGTACCAAATCTCAAGGCAAAGCATGACAGCTGAAGCCACAGAGAGCCTTGCAAAGGCCCAAAGCTCCTTGAAGGCTAACCAAGACAGTCCCATCCAACTATCCTTGCACCATCCAACAATATAAGCAACCTGAGCCAAGGCCACCCCCCATGCCGATAAGTCATAAGCTGCGGCAGCACCGGCTGTGCCCCACCCAAACACACTAATGAACAGATGCAGCACAACAATGTGAAGCAACAGAGCCACGAAACCAATCCACGCTAGAGCCGCGACCTTACTTTGAGCTTGCAGAAACTTCTGTGTGGGGAAGTTGATGGCAAGCGAAAACATTTGAGGGATGACTTGGATGGTGAATTTGCCTGCAAATTCAGCAATGTCGTCGCGTTGGCCTAAGAGCTTTAGGATTGGAGTGGCATATATGTAAAGCGGCAATATGCAGAAGCAGGCCACAACTAGGATTATCCATGACCTTTGCATGTAAACCCCGAGCATATCTATGCGTCCGGCACCAAATGCCTGTCCGCATATAGTCTCCAATGCACTTCCCATGCCCATCTGTGATTTTGTGCAACAGGTTAAGAGATACTCACTCAACTTTAGTCATCACAACATTGATTATGCTTAAAATATACAGATTTTTTTATGGAAAAACATATTAAGCAAAATATAATTGCCTATATGAACTCCACTAGATGCTCATAGTACAATCTATGCATCTTTCTGGATTGTTTGTCAGAATAAAATCAGAATTATGGACAATGTAGTGTTCATTTCACAAAGAGAAGGTTCATATGTCCTTCTAAGTTGAAAGGACAATACTATTCAGACCTAATAGTCTAGTCGAAAATCCTAACCGATAAATTTTTATCCCATGATGGATTAGATAAGATTCTCGGCTAGAGGTCTGAGAATCATTATTCAATTTTAAATTTTACTTTTAATTGCCGATTGTGTTGAAGAAAGTTCATTTTGATGGTTTAGATTTTGATTAATTCTATGGAGCTTTTTGTGGAAAGCTCAAATTTGATAATTTTAGAATTGAGATTGTAAGTGAAGGTAGAGTTTATAGGAAAAAATGTATTCGTGGAAATGATTATTAAGGCAATGATGATAACAATGATGATGATATTCCAGGAAATGAGTATATATATATATATGAAGAGTGTTTTAGGTATTTCATTCCCAAAATAATCAGATTAAAAGTCAGAAGAGGTGTATTATGTGTGTGTAGAAATTGAGAAGAACTAACCAAGAATCCAAATGAGAAATTTGCAATAACAGATAAAGAAATGGCAACTGAAGAGAGCTCGACATCTCCAATATGTCCAACAAAGATATTTGTAAAAGAGTTAACCCCGTAATTGCAGAGAATATTGAAAGCAATTGGACCTGCAATAGACCATAACTTTACCGACTCTACGTAACATATATTTTTGGCACTCTGGAAGTTATGGACAGGAGGGTAGTCTCCTTCGTCACCATGCACCAGCAAGGTGGTGGGCGCGTGGTGGAGCACGGCATCTTTAGTGGCGGCACCACCGCCAATGTACGGTGACTCAATCTGCAAACCCACAAATTGCTTAGGGGTTGATTCTGCAGAGGAGGAACTATTGCTCTCCCCTGCTTTCTGTATATCATTTGCTTCGTTCCCTGCAATCTTTACACCCTTAATTGTTTTTTTTTTTTTTTTAAATTTTTTTATTTTTTATTATTGATGAATTTGAAAATTTTAGTCTCGATCACTTATGATTTTTTTTGTGCGAGCTATGTGTTTTGTTAGGATTTTGTTGGTAACTATGAAATAGGAAGAAAGAGAGATGACCGAGTCTAGATTCTTAACGACAGGACTCTGTTTTTTCTGTTATGGGTCTAAAGTTAGTTGGTTCTTTCCACTTCATCACGTGGTGCGACGCGAGCCACAATATTAAGTTGAAAGATTTTTTTTTTTTTTTTTTCTCTAGCGTAAAGTTGAAAGGTGGAGTAGTTAAATTTTGACCAACCAAATAATTGAATCCCAATTATAATCTTCAATTTAAATTGGAAGAGTAGAAATGTAATGTAAAATTGAAGGCAGAAACATTGAATAGAATTGACTCTTCACTTTTGACCTTTAGGCCATGTTTGGTATCGCTGCCATTTAGCAAAAAATTTAAAAATAGGAGCAAAAATTGCGTTTACATATTTTGTGTCGCAGATTCGTAGGATCATGTTTTCGTTTTAAGTTGCACAAGCGTTACTAAGTTCTTTTATATGGTTTAAGTTTTTAAACAGATATGTGGGGATGAGTTTCTTACCCGAACATATAAAAAAAATAAGTAAATAAAATCACTTGACTTTTGTGAGTACTCAAAAAAAAAATCTACCACATTAGTCTCACAAATAACTTAAGCATAATTATTGCTAAATTACTTCTCTTCCCATAAATTATTGGGGGAAAATATTATCTGATGACCGTAAGTTTGGTAAGCAAGCTCAGATTTTATTAAATCACCAAATTAATACGGAGTACACATCAAGAAGCATTCTGCTGGATCAAAATAGACCACAAATAAAAAAATAAGAGAAAAAAACGGAATAAACACTCCACGGCTCTCATTGCGTCTCTAACCTCTTCTGTCTTCGACCAAATATTTTACATATTGTTGGTGGGAAAAATCCAAAGACTTTGGAAATAGATAAATCCTATTTTAGCACTTCAACAATAAAAAAGTGCTACAAGTACTTTATTTTTTTTCTAATATTTATGGTATAATTTTCACAAATCAAGAAAGATGCCTTACTTAAAGCTTTTGAAGTTCCTTTCCACACGCTTCTAAATTTTTAATAATAATTTGAAAGAAAAAACATAAACTATGATGAGGGTTGAAAAATGCTCCCATAATCTTTTTTTTTTGTTTTTCTTACACGTAATCAAAGGGATCCATATATTTTTTGGTGAAAATTCCCAAGGCACATATAAGACAAAAAAGAATTTCCAGTTTCAGTGACCGAACCATCATCCATACACTTAGACATATAATAATAAAAAATAATGTAATGGCACCATTCCGGATTAATTAAGACTGGTTGGGTTTCAGCTTCACTGGGGTGGGCCCACCACAAAACAAAACTTAAAAGCACCATAGTGGACTAAGACTAGATTGTCTGAATCTGGATTTTACCATATGTCCATATTGAAAGGAGAATATTGAAGTTTTAGCACTCTACTATATAATTACCCTTTCAAAAGATGACGTAATAATTATAGAGAAGAAGTTATTCAAAAACGATATCATTTGTACTATAAAGTTCCAAAAGATAGATTGAAGAATAGAATACAGGAGCTTTTAACAACTGCAACATGACATTACTCACTAGATGCGGTACAAAGGGGCCACAGGCATCATACGAGATCATGATTCAAAATGCAAAAGCAAGGTTCCAAGATACGATTACTTGCATAAACGGTACAAGGGCAAGTGTCCGAACCTTGGTGGGAGCAAGAATATAAGGTGGATGTGTATTTGATTGTACTTTCAAACAAGCAAAAAGGTTTCTGATGTTATAATAAGTTAATGAGCAGTCGGGCAGAGACCATTTTATGAAAATCTTTAACATCATTTTTCAAGGGATGTATGAAGAACTGATGCAATGTTTGGCAGCACCGAATCGGCATCCCATATTTGGGATTGGAGAAATTTTATTATAAAGTTTGAACTAAATTTTCTCCAGTCCCAAATCTAAGGTACCGATTCAGTGCAGCCAAACATAACATGAATATACATGAAACCAATCAAGAGATTGATATGAGACTAAAGGCAGTAAGCCATTGCCAACTCCACCATCATAATAACATGATAACATGAAAAATGAATCAGAGAGTTTAAAAACAAAAAAAAAAAGGCAATAAGAGCACAGCTTGAGTCAAATAAAGTGTGCATTTTGATCATCCAAAAGTACAGGAAATGATGGTAGCAAATTTAACAAGGAAAACAGCAAAATCTCCTAGAAATAGGTCAAAATACTCCTCACCCTCCAGCTCTCATTAAAAATTAAAAATTGCATTTCCTCCAGAATACCCCTCTGCCGGGTAGCAGAAATCCTACTGTTATCGAGTTACATATATTTAGTATACAACAATGCATGGTGAAAAGAAACAAACTAACAACTTCATCATGTATTCAATCAGATTGAACGAGCTTGTACCATGCCCAAGCTTTCCATGGAAGACTCATAATTCATTTAAAGATCAATTAAGAATTCGCCAGGTTGAGCTTATAGTTGACAATAGTACGTAGCTGGTGCATGTACACTTCCTTTCACTTATGCGAAGCTAACTGCTAAACTTAGTCATCCTAACACTCCTCGCCCAACCTCAGCATTGGTTGGAAGATAAATCAATGTCTAATTTCACTATGTGATCCTCATCTGCAATATATAACAAGCGCTGCAGCAGGTCAAGCTAAAAATCCTGTAACTAATTCTAAACGCAACACTACTTACACTTAATCGTCTTTTAATTCACTGTTACTTATGCTAATTTTAAAGTATCCCTAAGACTATTTGACAGTACCAAGCTGGTGTTAAGACCTCTCTTTCCAATTTGCAGGAAGTCTTATTCCACTCTTGTGCACATGAATCACAGATTCACACATAAGTCATTAGATCAGACTTGAAACCCCAAGAAAAATTACTACAAGTTAATGCATAAACTAAACAGCAAAAACATAATGAAGCACATCAGACCAAATTTTAGGACTAGGCTTCGCTTGGGCCACATACCAAAAATTCAAACAATTGTACAAGTATTAGCTGGACCCAATTGTACTGACCAACAAGGAATGCCCAAGCCGAATAACAATTCACAAAACTTCATCCTAAGTTCCTAAAAAGAACAATGCCATGGCTTCTTTAGAAACCTAGCTACCATCAACACAACAGAACTTTTGCTGACAAAATTATTTTGACCTTTCTAGTAGGAGATATGTTAGAGACGAAAGCTTATAATTTTCTCAATTGCAGCATGCTGCGGCATAGGTAAGATGTATGCATCATGTCATATGATTGAAAAAGACATGGTATCGGGATGTACTTAAATGGTGGTGAAATGCATGAATCCCAATATGCCCAGTTCTGTAATTGCAATAATGATCCGTGACTAACCGCCACCCAAAATTTAGAGCAAGAAAGATGGGACTATGCACTGATAAGCCATGAACGAAAATGAAATAGGTAAGGTAATAGTGAAGACGCTGCCCTCGTACAGTAGTAAATGCATGGGAGGATTGGTTGAAAGATCAACACTGTTATGCTACATGATCTTTTAATTTGTGATTGTTGGTCTAAAGATGCAACATTTTGTATGCCTGTGTCATGAAATTTTAAGACACCAGAACTGCCCATTACCATATCTTGAACTGAGTCAAGATGGCAATTTAAGAAGAAAAGGGGACAAAAGAAAAAGAATACTAAAATCTATGGAAGGTGAACTAACAAAGACTTGTGGCGCAATAAGCTTTAGTCAATTTATCTCACCAAACATGTTAGTTAAAGTTTCTCATTGACCTGAGAGAGAGGATTGGAAGTGTTTGAATCACCAGAGAGTTGGACTTTATTGTCAGAACAGCCACCGCCACTCCTTGATATCCTGTTGGCAGAACCAGCCCCAACCCCATGAAATGACTCACCTGAAACCAATGCTTGAAGTAGCTTTGGTGGTGGTGGGACATTCACCTCCACTACCCCTTCCAACATTTTCACCACCATACCCATTGTAGGCCTCATTGCCTCGTCGTCCTGTATGCACCACACTGCTACCAATCCTAACCGCTCTGCCTCTGCTACACTATACATGTCACCAAGCCTCTCGTCAACCACATTCGACACATTTCCCTCAATTATATGGCGTGCTGCCCATGGCGGAAAAAACCACTTCTCCCCGTTTCCACCCTCTCCAGCTGATGGAGGCCCCTCCACATTGCGGCGTCCACCTATTAATTCCAACAACGTCATTCCGTAGCTATACACATCAGCTTTGGCAGTAATAGCAACGCCTGAAATCCACTCGGGTGCAACATAGCCCCAAGTACCCCTCATGGTGGCTAAAACTCTACTGAAGTCCCTACAGATGAGCTTTGCTAGCCCAAAATCTGACACCTTTGGGGAGAAATCATCATCTAATAGAATATTCTCGGGCTTAATATCACAATGTATGATACAATCTCTACACTCCTCATGTAAATAAGCAATGCCTCTTGCCGTTCCAATTGCAATGCGAAATCTAACATCCCAACTCAAACTCCGGCCATCGCGCCTCAAATACACACTCAGAGGACCATTGGGCATGTAGTCATAAACCAGTAGCCTGTGAGAATCTTCTGAACAAAACCCCCTCAATCTCACAAGATTGACATGCTGAATGTTCCCAATTGTGCACACTTCTGCTCGAAACTCCCTCTCACCACCACCTGGTCGTTCGAGTCTTTTCACTGCCACCAAAGTAGAATCCAATAGTTCACCTCGAAACACTGCTCCAAATCCCCCATGTCCCAGTTTCTCGGAGAATCCCCTAGTTGCAACATGAAGCTCTTTGTAAGAAAATACTTTCAAATTGGTGACTGTAAAAACAGCTTCCTCTTCTTCCTTCTTTCTCTCAATCCTCCTCTTCCTTATAATCAACAATGCTACAATTGTTATGACCGAAAACAGTACAAACCCACAAATTGTACTAATCAAAACTAGTGCTTTCTTTTTCTCCTTCTTGATTACACCTCCTTTTGGTATTCTTAGGTTTAGTACATCCCTAATCGTGCTATCATATGTCAAATTCCGAAGATTCAAGAGCGATCCAAATAGGTTTTTGCATAGATTAGTCTTTGAATTGTGGAACAAGCCAATGCAAGAACAATTGCCCAAACAAGAGCTTTCACACATACCTCTGCTCCCCGAAAATGACACTGTAATTGCTCCATCAAAGCTAACTGCTCCAATCTCTTCAAACACATCATCGTTTCCGCAAAGATCATCGCTCTGGCGCCGACAACCTCCGGAAAAGTCCCCGGCGTCCCACCCAACGCCGTCGATGGGTTGAAAACCGGCCAGACACTTGCAAGGGCTCAACATTCTTGTGTTGCAAAGCCCTGCATTCCCGCAAAGCCCGTAAATTCTACACATATTTTCCGGCTGAGTCCAGAACTTATTCCAATTCTCCGTCTGCGGCGACCACGTGAACTGCCTCAGCTGTCCGGAAAAGTCGACTTGGAAGCGCGTCAACGGCGGCCGCATCCCGCTCTCAAGCGACGTGGTCGTGTATCCAAACGACGCCGTGGGCGTAAACGGATCGACAAAATGGAACTTATATATGTAAGGTATCGTCATCTCCGGCACACCAGTGAATGCATTGCCGGTCCAATTTCCGGTCGACCAATACGACTCAGTCCCATTGTACACAAGCTCAATCTCGCCGTACTCCGGCGGCTTGAGCCGCAGCGAATACCGTCCCGGGGACGGATCCACGGAGCTCTTCCAACAAGTCAGCCGATGCCTGACCGTGACATTCATTCCCGGCAACCACGTATCGGTCGGAAAATCGAAGCTCTGCCACACAATTTTCCCATCACCTCCGACAAGTACCAAATTGCCTTCGTCCAAAAGCTTCGCCCGAACCGCCTTCTCAGTGTTCTCCGTCTGCCACAGGCTCTCACCGCCGGAATCCTTCACCGTTAAACGGCCGTCGGCGGTGATCTGCGCTTTCGCCGACGCTAGAGTTCTCGCCGGAGTTTCACAGTTCGCTACCCAAACGTAGGTCGGTGTAGGGATTGAAGCGTACCAAATCCCCAAATACCATTTGGATTCATCATTGGTGTGGAAAAATCCGAGCTCGAATGTCCTGTTCTCGCTCAAGATCGTAGCATTTCCAGTAATTAGCTCCACAGAGCTAGACTCTAACTTCTTGCTTGTAAAAGAAGTGAGATTCGAGGGTTTCGCCATTGTTGTAGCAGCATTTGAGCTCGAATCGAGCACAAACGTCACTGAAAGGAGTAGAAATAAGCAAGAGAGCATGTTTGTGTTGTTGCAGAGCAAACATGGAATCAAGCAGATGGTGATACAAAGTTCGGAAGAGAGAAGGTCCGAAGGAGAGATAGAAGACAACAGGTTGGATTTTTATGGATGTCTGAAAAAGCTGACATTCACGGACATGATGAAAAGGAAGATAGTTGTGGAGAAGTTGTTGTTGAATTACGGGAGTGCCCTTAGATGGTGCACAGTGAATGGAGTAATGCTTGTAATATTGGGGGGTCGTTTAGGTTTTATAGCTGTATTACAGTAATATGGAGTTGCGAAAGTCCACAGTGATACGGTGGCAGACAAAAGATCTTGAAGTCCACTCACGAGTTCGTCTGTTTTCAACTATCCTATGATATAAAATATATAAAATATAAATAAAGAAAATTAAAATCAATTAATTAAAGTTATTTAGAGGCTTTGGAATCTACAAGCGTATAGTTGGTCAAAAAGGATTGTTGAAAATTTTGTAGAAAAACAATGTTGTTATAAATCTAAGAGAAAATACAGAGTAATATTGAGGAATTGCAACACACTTAATATAAGAACAATATAAGAACAGAGTGTAAGAGAAACAATACACAGAGAAGGAAGATAGAACTCTCTTTTGCTTTATATTGGTGTCTTTTTACAAAATATCACACTTCTTTATATAAAGCCTTAAGCACCTAATACACTGCGCTTCACTCGTTACATTATCTCATACAAAGCACGCAATACTAAACCCACTTCAATACATAAGTTACCGATATACACAAATACTCATGCATGAGGTAAATGATGAGGTGGACCCCATTATATTACAACACTTTTCCTTGGGGTCCATTGCATTATATTAAGAATATGTCTCATTAAAACCATGTTAGGAAAACTCAGTGGGGAAAACCAGCGAAGGAAAAAGAGTACAATATCATTGTATCATTGAAAATGGTATTGCACAGGTTAAAACTGCCTCATTAAAATCTCGCTAGGAAAATCCAGTGAAAAAATCATAGCGAAGGAAAAAGAGTACAGTATGTCAATACATTTTCAATTCAATTGCTCCCCCTCATTTAGCATTAAATATCATTGAGTCGACGTATTCCAATATTATCCACCAACTTCTTGAATGTTGTAGTTGGTAGCGCTTTAGTGAAGAAATCTGCTAGATTATCCCTCGAGCGTATCTGCTGAACATCAATATCACAGCTCTTCTGGAGCTCGTGTGTGGAAAAGAATTTTGGTACAATGTGCTTGGTTCTGTCACTGTTTATGTATCCTCCTCTTACCTGTGCAATACATGTTGTATTATCTTCATATAATATTGTTAGACTATCTTTGATTGAGGAGAGTCCACATGATTCTCGAATATGTTGTATAACAGATCTCAACCAAACACACTCTTTACCTGCTTCATGAATTGCGAGTATCTCAGAGTGATTTGAGGAAGTTGCAGTCATGGTCTGTTTCATAGATCACCATGATATACCAGTATCACCACAAGTAAACAAGTACCCTGTTTGTGATCGGGTTGTATGTGGGTCAAAAAGATAACCTGGATCTGCATATCCGATCAATTGGGGCTTTGATTTTCTTGAATAAAACAACCCCATATCAATCGTTCCCCGAAGGTAACGCATAATGTGTTTAACCCCATTCTAATGTCTTCGAGTTGGTGCAGAACTATACCGTGCTAGTAAGTTGACTGCAAATGCTATATCAGGTCTGATATAATTCGCAAGGTACATAAGAGCACCGATTGCACTAAGATATGGTATTTCAGGACCAAGAACTTCTTCGCTTTCTTCTTGAGGACGAAAAGGATCTTTCTTAACATCAAGTGATCGGACAATCGTTGGAGAACTCAAGGGGTGAGATTTATCCATATAAAATCGCTTCAGGACTTTTTCAGTATATGTTGACTGATGGATAAGAATTCCACTTGGTAAATGCTCGATCTGCAGACCAAGACAAAATTTTGTTTTACCAAGATCTTTTATTTCAAATTCTTTCTTTAAATAATTAGCAGTAATGGTGAGCTCTTCAGGAGTTCCCACAAGATTTATATCGCCAACATATACAGCTATAATAGCAAATCCAGATTTTGATTTATTGATGAAAATACATGGACAAACTTCATTATTTACATATCATTCTTTTAGTAAATACTCACTGAGACGATTGTACCACATGCATCCGGATTGCTTCAATTCGTATAAGGATCATTGTAGCTTAATCGAATACATAGTACGTGGTTTCAAGCTATTTGCTTCAGGCATTTTAAATCCTTTAGGGATTTTCATATATATGCCACCATCTAGTGATCCATATAAATAAGCTGTAACCACGTCCATCAGACGCATATCTAGTTCTACTGAGACTGTCAAACTGATCAAGAAGCGAAATGTGATTGCATCAATCACAGGAGAGTATGTCTCCTTATAATCAATACTAGGTCTCTGCGAGAAACCTTGGGCTACAAGTCGGGCTTTGTATCTTATAATTTCATTTTTCTCATTATATTTCCTTACAAATACCCATTTGTACCCTACAGGCATGACATCTTCAGGTGTCTGGACTATAGGTCCAAATACTTCACGTTTTGTAATGAGTTTAGCTCTCCCTGTATTGCTTTTTTCCATTTTGGCCAATCAATTTCTACGTTGACACTCTTCGACGTTTTGAGCTTCAAGATCCTCATTATCACCTGCAATATCAAGAGCAACTGCAAATGAGAATATATCGTTAATAATAACTATATTTCTATCCCACAATTCTTTATAGTTTATTGAGATTTCATTATTTTCAGGTACTAGTGCCTTTTCAGGGGCTTGTGCCACTTCCGGGGCATGTGCCACTTCTAGGGCTACTTGCTTATAAAAATTAGATTGATCAATTATTTTTGTTGTTCCTTTTGCAAGTGTGACGTCTTTAGGAGCGCCAATTTCTTTATTTGATTTATCTTGTACTTTCTTCTTTCGGGGAACAATGTCTTTTGCACTGACTGGTCTATTACGTTTCTGACGTGTCTTAGATGCATTTGCAATAACACTGACAGACTGTCCTACAGGGACATCAATTCTTGCTGGAATGTTTGCAGCTGGTATATGTGATTTCATCACTTTCTTTGTGTCAGTGAATGTATCGGGTAATTAATTTGCAATACTTTGCAAATGAATGATCCTTTGAACTTCTAGTTCACATTAATTTGTATAAGGATCAAAATGAGATAAATTCGAGGCATTCTAATTAATAACTCGTTGCTCTTCTGGTTTTTTCTTTTATCCCCCTAATAGATGGAAGACAGCCACATCGAAATGACAGTCAGCAAACTGCGCCTTAAAAACATCATCTGTCATAGGTTTAAGATATCTAATAATGGATGGAGAATCAAAACCTACATAAATACCAAGTCGTCGTTGATGACCCATTTTGGTGCGTTATGGGGGTGCAATGGGAACATATACAGCGCAACCGAAAACTCGTAAGTGAGAGATACTTGGTTGTTGACCAATTACAAGTTGTAGTGGTGAAAAATTATTATATGCAGTTGGTCTAATTCGAACTAGCGATGCTGCATGTAATATTGCATGTCCCCAAGCAGATTCAGGTAGTTTAGTTCTCATAAGTAATGGTCTATCTATTAACTGAAGATGTTTGATAAAAGATTCTGCAGAACTATTTTGGGTGTGAGTATGTGCAACAGGATGTTCAATATGAGTGCCAATTGACATGCAATAGTTATCAAATGATTGAGATGTGAATTTCCCGGCATTATCAAGACGGATAGTCTTGATTGGATAATCCGGGAATTGTGCTCGTAATCGAATGAGCAAGGAGTCGAGCAAATGCAACATTACGAATAGAAAGTAAACTTACGTGTGACCACCGTGCTGATGCATTAATTAAGACCATAAAAATACTGAAATGGTTCACATGCTGGATGAATTGGTCCACATATATACCTTTAAATTCGTTGTAAAAATGGTAGGCATTCAACGACGACCTTGGAAGGTGATGGTTTGACTATTAACTTACCTTGTGAGCAAACGGTACATGGATAATCATTTACTAAAAGAATCTTCTGGTTCTTTAGTGGATGACCATGTGAATTTTTAATGATTCGGCGCATCATTGTTGACCCAGGATGACCAAGGCGATCATGCCAAAGTATAAAAATATTTGGGTCAGAGTATTTCTAGTGTGTCACTGCATGTGACTCAATTATTCTTATATTTGTATAATATAATCTAGAAGATAAAGCAGGAAGTTTTTCTAATACATGATTCTTGCATGTAATGCAGAGATATTCAACGCCCTCTTTATTTATAGTCTTAATATGATAACCGTTGAGACGTATATCTTTAAAACTTAATAAATTTCTTTTGCATTTGGTAGAGTATAGAGTATCATCAATATTCAATTTTGTTCCACATGGTAACACAATGATAGCTTTTCCGAAGCCTTCAATTAGGTCTGCTGGACCTGATATTGTATTGACACTAGTTTCAACTAATGTTATACGCGAAAAATATTTTCTATCTCGGAGTATAGTGTGCGTTGTTGCACTGTCTGCCAGACATATATCTTCACCATTTATCTTGGGTACAGTCAATGCCTTAACCAGATCCATGCTTCATCATACACACAAAATATAAATTTCATTACTTCAAACTTGAAATACAAACTAGATTTACATACAAGATAACCAAAATAAAAACATACTGGTACAACCTAGATAGAGACATATTGATACAACGAAAATTTAAACATACCCATACAGACAAAATAAAACACACAAGGGATAACATGCTAGAGAATGACACATTAATTGGTATGGATATTTCAATCACCAATCAAATGATCAATACTACTACTAGGATCAACAAAGAAGTCAATAACATCAAGGTGAGTAATATCAACTGGCAAGTCGTCATCGACAAAATTCATTTCAATTTCCTTTCCTTTTCCCTTATCATTCATTGGGGCACGGTAAAAATCAGTTAGATGTTTGGGCATACGACAAGTACGTGACCAATGACCTTTCATTCCACACCTATAGCAAGGCTTGTCATCATATATCTCAGGAGCTTTGTTTTACAAAGCTTTTCCTTTTGCCTGCTTGGTCGCATTTGAATTCCACTTCTGGTGGGACGGTGTGGAGTTCCTTCTGGGAACCAATGAGGAATTATGATCACCACGATTATGATAATTATTTCTATTGCGACAATATCCACAACCACCACGACGTCCACGTCCACGTCTATGGCCGTGAAATGATGACACATTTGCTTCCGGGAATGGTACAGATCCAGTTGGATAAGACTGGTGGTTTTTTTTTTTTTTATTTATCAAAAGCTCATTATTCTGTTCAGCCACCAACAAACAAGAAATCAGCTCAGAATATTTTGTAAATCTTCGCTCTCTATAGTGCTTCTGTTGGAGCGCATTTGAGGCATAAAATGTGGAGTATGTTTTTTCCAACATAACATCATCATTAATTTTTTCTCTACACAATTTCAATTGTGAGTTAATTTTAAACAAGGCTTAATTGTACTTATTTACACTTTTAAAATCCTGTAATCGCAGGTGGATCCAGTCATAACGAGCTTTTGGAAGGATTATAGTTTTCTGATGTTTATATCGTTCCTTTAAATTTTTTCACAGTGTAAGTGGATCCTTAACCATGAGGTACTCTGTTTTTAATTCCTCATGGAGGTGATAGCAAAGAAAGATCATAGTTTTCGCGCGGTCCTGCAAGGACGCATTATTTCCTTCCTTAATTGTCTCTCCGAGATTCATGGCATCCAAGTGGATCTCGGCATCAAGGATCCATGACCAGTAGTTTTTGCCCAAGATATCAAGTGCCACAAATTCAAGCTTTGTAAGATTTGACATTATGAAGGGGACCTTTGAATGTGAGAAAAAAAAAATGAAATTTTCCTCTCACTTGGCTAAAGCCCTCGTGCTTGATAACGTATTATAAATCTAAGAGAAATTATAGAATAATATTGACGAGTTGTAACACACTTAATATAAGAACACAATGTAATAGAAACAATAGATAGAGAAGGAATATAGAACTCTCTTTTGATTTTATTGGTGTGTCCTTTTACAAAACATCACACTTCTTTATATAGAGCCTTCAGCACCTAATACACTGCACTTCACTCATTATATTATCTTATACAAGTCACGTAATACTAAACCCACTTCAATACATAAGTTACCGATATACACAAACACTCATGCATGAGGTAAATGATGAGGTGGACCCCACTATATTACAACAAATATTTTATTATTGTTGTTTTTTCCAAGTTCAAATATAAAATTATGACTAAAGAATAAAGAGTGCATCCAATATCTTGTTACAATAAGAAATTGAGTGTAGGGATGAGAATGTAAAATTACAAATAAATACACTGACGCATCAATTTTTTCTGTACGGAGAAATGAATCCTCAACATTAGGAATGGCAACTGGGCAAAGTTGGGGCGGGTTTGACTAAATCCTACTTCGCTCCGTTAGAAAATTTATTATACCAACTCTGCCCCTACTCCGGAA